CTTCAAGATATTTTCTGCTACATCTTCGTACGGAGTGCTTGCAATAATTATGTTTGATCCATTGCGAAGGTGAAGCAGAAATTTGTGGCTGTTACAGGCCTCCGGGTCACAGCTCGCATGTTCTACCGCTCGGGCAACCTGGTATGTTTTCAGTTCTTTCACAACTAACCCTGGTCTGGGCCGCATGATAATCTTCATATCGTTTTTGGGCAGCGGCGCCGCGCGCGTTCGTCGTCGGCTTCTTTCAGATGCTCTTCCGCGTCGCTCTTCTGCAAGCGTTCTAGCGCCGGAGCTGTTGCTCTCAGTTACGCCTCGATCAACGCTGTCATCACTCGCTGCGCGTTCTTGTTTCCTGATGCGTTTTCACTGTCACAATGACATTGCTACCTGCCACTGACCATTCTTGGCTTCGTCGTCGCGTTGCTCCACAAAATCGTTTTCCTTGTTCTCGGCGTCACTAGTAGATTCCCCTTGTAGCACCTCGTCAGGTGAAAGAAAATCTTCGTTGGTGTCCACCGCAGAGCTCACTTGGGTTTCGATGTCTTGGTTATCCATGTTCATAAGTGCCTGGGCTAGTTTTGGGTCGTTGTCCTTTGGGGTTCGAGCAGGTGCAGCGCGACGCGTAGGCCGAGAGCTGGCTGCCAGGACTCCAGGTTCCGCTTCGCCGCGACGCTTAGCGTAGCGGGTTGGCATGCTCTGGCGAAGGTCTTCACTTCTCAGAGGAAACCGGGATCGCTTGTACAAAAGGTGGTGTCAGCGTGTACCTGACGTCTTCGTGCACAATTCCCGTAGTTTCACTGGTAATCACATGATTTTAACCGCTGCTAGGTACGATGATTGACGGAGCAGATGTGAACGAGTGTACACTCCTCGGCGCCACCTGGCGGTCTTGGTAATATGGGATGTGAATAGGTGACAAAACTATATGACTAGTGGAAACATGATAATCGTGAAATGCGTGACATGTAGGAACATAAATACATGCCACGCTCATGACGCTCTTGCGGCTGTTTCGATGGATTCACATATACTAAATTTGGTGTTACCTGACACGAACGAACGACGAAGGTAAATGACACGTCAAGACATGATAATCAACATATGCCTGTCATGCAAAACTGGACTCAATTCTACGATCATTGTGCCAGCGCCGTCGTTTTGCTAGCTTCACATATACCAAATTTGGTGACACGTGGTGTCAATGCCTGACGAAAGTATATGACGAGCGCAAACATCATACTCAGGACATCTGTGTGATGCAAGAACATGACTACGTGCCATACTCCTGATGTGATCACAGCCATTTCGCTAGCATCACTCATGCCAAATTTGGTATTACATGATGTAAATAAACGACGAATTCCAATGCCAGACGGAAACAAGATAATCATGCTATGCGTGTCATTTAAAAACATGACAACCTACCATGCTCATGAGGCACTCGCGGCCGTTTCACTAGCTTCATATATACCAAGTTTGGTATCACGTGACGTGAATACACGACGAAGGTAAATAAAACGTCCAAATATGATCATTCTGATATCCGTGTTATGTAAAATATGACATGGTATGCTCATAGCATGCCCGAGGCCGTTTTGCTAGATCCACATGTACCCCATTCGCTATCACGTGACGTGATTAAAGGCATATGACACATCTAAACAAGATAATAATGACATGAAAGTCATGTTTGGGATATTTTACGTCTGCCTCGTATTGTTGGGATGATTTTAAAGTGACAAATCAACTACTCTGATTTGTGCTTCGCATATAAACGTTCCCACGGTACGTGGAACCTGCTAGTTTTTCCACACACCAAAAAATTGATAAACGAGTAATCGACACATAGTTTCACAAGCCTCTAATGGCTTATTCGCTGCCACGGTTGCCAGGCTCAGTTATTTAGTGCCGATGTGGCTACTTTCCCAAGCCTATGACGATGGAAAAAAGCCTTGGCTACTTGGTTTTTTCTTGCAACCTCTCTATCTCACCATCGTCATCCATTAGGCTTTTTTCTCCCCTTTCCCATACCCTGGTGTAGAGTAGCAGGCTAGAGCAACCTATCATTCAGGTGGACGTCTCTTCTTCTCTGTAAATGAAGCTGCCTCTCTCTCTCTTTCTCTCTTTTTGCAACTTTTTGTACTATCGTTTTGAGCAAAGTTATCAATATCTGGTGACGTGGAAGCTGCTGTTGTTGAAGTATATACTGGCAGGACATAGAATATAAATCTTGCTTGAAAATCGGGCAAGGCATCTACTTTTTTGGTACTGAGGGGAACAGCGCAAAAAAAAAGGGGGGGGGGGACGGAGAATGATTGAACACGACACAAGCGCTGTGTTTATTCTTTCTCTGTCCCATTTTTTTCGCGCTGTTACCCTCAGTATTATGTAGCAGCTGGTCATCAAGAAACCCTTCTACGTACTTTTCATTGCGTACATAAGCAGCAAGAAAAACAATACGGGTGGATTGGGCGATCTCGAGCCAGAAGCGCCGAGTACAATCTGTGGGCTCTCGTGATTTGAGCTTGGTTTCAGTTGTAGGCGCCAGCTTTCAGTGTCGATAGAACTTCTGTGCAAGTGCTACTTACGACGAGAAACCCTGTTTCAGAGGGCTGGAGCTACAGGGTGAATGGTGGATGTGCGCAGTATATAAGCATATTCGACTGTTCAAGATAAGCGTTTTACATGGGGCATTTTTATATTAGTTTCACAACATTTTTGAAACATTTCATTGAAAAAAGTTACAACTCATTCATTTTCTATTCGCATGCTTCGCATGACATTTATTTATTTTTTTTTATTTATTTATACTTCCAACCCTCACTTGAGCGTCATTACAGAGAGGGAAGCATAGGATATGGAAAGTAAATACAGACATTCATATTTTCAGCAACTTTGAACAATACCACAATACCATATTCATTGCTCGGCAAAGTAAACATCAAGAGCACATTCAAATTTTCGACAATATGTCGCGGCAATTTGTTTCACGCTTCTATAACATCAGGGAAAAAAGATTTGCGAAAGACGTCCGTGCGAGCACCGAAGGGGCGAACTGCCGTGTCATGATTGATCCGGCTGCTGAGCTTATGCGGGGGGTGTACGTAAATTGTTCTATACATTTTTATTTGACCATGCAATATCTGAAAAAATACTTTTAGGCGCTGCTTTTGTCGTTTAACTTCTAGAGATTCCAAACCACTTAATTTTAACATCTCGGTAACCGAATCAGTCCTTTTATACTTCGAACATATAAATCGCGCGGACAATTGTTTCCCGTAGCACGGGAGATCTTTCAATTTTTCGTACTTTTTCAGAATCTCTCGACAGCTCGGCCAGCAATTATCAATCTATTTGAAGCATCTAACGATCGGCTTGTATCATTTTCTTTGCGCAGGTACGTAACGTGACTCTGTATACATCAGTGATGACATTATTTTGAAAGTGGCTAAAATGTACGCTGGAGTGCCAGCTACTGTGATTCTGAACACAGTCGTCATGCTATAAACTGATTTCTATTGTTGCAACCCCTAGTCACTTCAAGAGAAGTCATGCGAATAGGGGAAGTGTCATTTTTTCAACAGCGGAAACACTACGTCCTCACTCATGAAACGATTGGTAGTGTCCATAATGTATGCTGGTATCACAAAACTCTTTATTTTGAATTGTTTGTGATGCCCATATTTGCTTTTTTAGTGAAAGACTTTTACATTAATCTCTGAAAAACATTTGTAAGCGAGTTTGAAATACGTATGACTACTGAAAGCAACTGTAACCGCACTGGCTTTAGTTGGCTACTTTTTGTCTCGTTCTCTAATTTTCTGGCTATATATTGTCTTGACTACCCGGCAACCCAGTATGCATCCTACTCCCGGCACAGATATTGGCATCTATTGCTTCTAAAGCACACTTCTCAACTTTCCAGCCGATGAAAAAGGAGTTTTTAACCAACCTCATGTGTCTTGTATTATGTGGTAAGTGTATATAAACACTTAAACCTAGGCACTGCACAAGCACCACGAATATATTCTTCCTACATGATTCCTTTTTAGAGCACTATGAAATCGTCAATGTGCTCAACGCATTTCTCCAGAAATGACGATTAGATGTGATGAGATATTGCAATGATTGAAATATGCCCTGAACTCGTCCATCTGCTATGACCGCATATGTCGCGTGTTATCATAAGACCATTATTTAAACGTTGAATAAATAAAAGGTGAGCGATGGTGTATATACAGACGCTTTTTGCTGAATGCGAAACCATATTTTGCGGGTTCTCATGCACTTTATTTGCCCTAATCGTTCATTGTTTTTTCCTATAAACCTCACACCTTCATTTTGCATTCAACTGCAAACTGCATCTCCACGAGAAGTGTGTATTCTGAATTTATTACTTTTCACTACCGAGAGAATGACTACGTTCGTATGTACCGACTGACCACATTTTTTGCAGGTAGTGAAACACAGACTGTTCCAGCTTCTACTCTGCCCGCTAGGTCACTTATTCAATTAGTAGTGTCATTACGCTAGTTTTCCTTACATAGGTAATCTATAACCGTCCGTCGGAGCTTTGCCACCATTCTCACTATTCTCTCGCTATTAAAAAAGAGTCGCTATGCGTTGCACATTCGTTATGGCAAATGTGACCACCACGGCCTTGCTCAACGCCATGGCACATGGTTTAGCACCCAAGTGCTGCAATGACTATGCCGCTGAGACTAATGATGCAGTGGATATGATTGATGGGCACACGAAAGTAAAAAAAAACATAGCATATACAACAACCATAACGGATTCTTCTCGCAAAAAATAACGAATTCATTAATAGCTAATCATAGGCAGTCTATTCAGTGAACAGGCTTGAGCTGGACAGTTTTTACTACATACTCAACGCATTTTACACCTTGCCCCATAAATGTTAACACAATGCATTGTTTTTACGTTGTGACAATAATATCTTCTTATTACGTTGTCAATATAAATATCAGGGCACTTACCTTGTACTTTATCTACCAATTCCGTCAGTAGCATGGTATTCCAAGTCTGATGAAACAGCAGATACTGTGACTTTGCATCAGCCTTTGCTATCAGGTCAGCTGCGCGATGTATATCAAGATTTTCAAAGACTTGTAAGCTACTATGTTAATCGGTGTCAGGTGAGATTGGCATTAAAACGCGACACTCAATCACTGGAAGCACCACTCTTGCCTACACTGACAGTAATTGGTCGAATACTGATCGTGAAGCACTGCTACAAAAGAAATTTCGGAAGCATACTAACTAATTGTGGCAACAAACAAAAATGGATTGTTTTTCTCAACACAGCTGATATATAAAAAACATTGGTATACTACACTCTAATACAGTGCCCAAAGAATTAAGGGAATTCGCTAGGCGCAGCGTTTCAGCACTCCTCCCACATTGTCGGAATAAAAGTCAGGTGCAGCAGTGAGTAAGAAGATGTCTACAATGCATAGTGTTATTTTGAGTCAAAAATGACGATTCCCATTGGCCGCATTTCATCCATAAATGATGATATGTAGGTTTTAATGGCGCAAAGGCCATGTCTTGGCCAAAGAGCGCTATAGAAAAGATGGAGGACCGGCCATGACTTGGAATGTAACAATGACTAAGACGTCTACAGGCCTCTCTAAGGGCCTAAAATTGCTTACCTTAAAGCGGATAAAACATAATATTGTGTCATCTGGGTTGAGACAGCATTCATTCAGCCCAAGGTCTCAGCAACGAACGGGCAGTCTAAGACCGAGCGTGCACACACCCGATGATGATTGTGGTGACCCCCAGTGAAGATGAGGACAGGGACCCAGACGAATGATGATGATTATGAAAATGCATATATGAGAAGCGCATAATGAATGCCCACACTAATTCCCCCCACATCAAAGCGGCCAACCTGGCCGTAGAAAATCAATGTGGCAGAGAACGTCGCCTGAAAGGATTCATGCGAGACACGTGCACGATCTCTGTGGAGTGGTGACGGTGGCCTGTTGGGACGACAAGTGGAGTCACACGATAATTAACGGCCCAGTCTGTTCGAAGTCTTCCACAGTCACTCAACAATACACGAGGGGCACCATGGCGCAGAATGATGGCGTGCGGAATGAAATCGGCAACTTCCGAAGCAGAGGCAGTTGATACAGACGTTGTCTCCGCGTAACGTGTCAAGTGGTCTGCGGCGGTCACTATCCAAAGTTTTCCAGTAGATGTGACGAGAAGAGGGCCATACAGGTCTATACCTACAATCTCAAATGGCATTGTAGGGCACGGAATTGGCTGTAGAGTCCCGGCCGGTGCAGTTGTCTGGATTTTACAATGTTGGCACAGGACACAGGAACCGACGTAGTGCATCATGCTAGTAGAAATACCGGGCCAGTAGAAGTGACTTCAAATGCAATCGTGAGTTTTTTTGAATACCAAGATATCCGGCAGTCAAGTCATCATAGAAGGCTTTAAGCACGTCAAGTCGAAGAGAGTGTGTTAACACGGGGACCCAGCGTTGACCATCAGGGTGGTAGGTGTGACGGTACAGGACTCCATTCTCCAGCTTAAATCGCAAGAGTTGACGACAATTCCGCGCGTTAGGTGGATGGGAAGCTCCTGAGATCTGGTCCATAATACGTCTACAGTACGAATCAGACAACTGGTAGGAGTGAAGTGCGCGCTTGTCGTCCGATAATAGCTGATCTATTGAGGCGAGCGCGAGCGCTACAGTAGAAGTGATGGAAGAACTTTGACCGATGCTGAGCTGGGTATTTGGTAGCGGGCAGCGCGAAAAGGCGTCGGTGTCTTGGTGTGTTCTACCTGACTTGTAAATGATATCGAGTTCATACTGTTGTAAACGTAGAATCCACCGACCCAAGCGTCCAGACAAGTTCTTCAACGTGCAAAGCCAGAATAACGCATGGTGGTCCGTAACAATCGTGAAATGATGGCCGTGGAGATAGGGACGGAACTTTTCAACTGCCCAGACTACAGCCAAGCACTTCTGCTCAGTTATGGTATAGTTCTTCTCGGTCGCGGTGTGTACTCTACTGGCATAGGCGACTGCTCTCTCTTGTGAAGAGGTGTCGCGTTGGAGCAGAACGGCACCTATACCACGGCCGCTAGCATCCGTATGTAGGATGGTCGGCGCGGCCTCATCAAAGTGGCAGAGTACAAGTTTGGACGTGAGGGCACACATTAACAGCTCAAATGCCTTTTGACATTCTTCCGACCACAGAAAAGGCACGTCGGAAGCTAGAAGCTGATGCAGTGGAGCCACTAATGAGGCGAAGTTTCGTATGAAACAGTGAAAATAAGAAGCGAGACCAAGAAAACTTCGCAACTCCTTCGACCTTTCGGGGCGCGGAAAGCGAAGCACTGCAGCAATTGCGTCCGGATCCGGCTGAATTCCGTTTTCGGTCATGACGTGGCCCAAAACCTTGATGGCTTTTGTGGCGAAATGGCATTTTTTGTGTTGAGTTGGAGACCAGTGGCGGCAAGGCATGACAGCACGTCATTCAAGCGTTGCAGGTGCCGAGGAAACGTTGACGAAAAATGACGATGTCGTCCAAGTAGCAGAGACAGGTCTTCCATTTGAGACCGCGTAGCATGGTATCGATCATGCGCTCAAATGTAGTGGGCGCGTTGCACAGCCCGAAAGGCATAACGTTGAATTCGTATAGCCCGTCGGGGGTTGCAACTGCCGTTTTCTCTTTATCGTCTTCGTGCATAAGAATTTGCCAGTATCCAGAACGCAGGTCTAGGCTGTAAAAGTATTTCGTGCCTTGTAGAGAATCAAGGGCGTCATCAATGCGAGGCATTGGGTACAGATCCTTGCGAGTGATCTTGTTGAGCGCCCTATAATCAACGCAAAAGCGCACGGAGCCATCTTTCTTGCGAACCAGAACCACAGACGACGACCAAGGGCTAGATGAAGGGCGAATTACCTCTCGTTTGAGCATGTCAGCTGCCTTTCCTTCGATAATTTTATTCTCAGCAGGAGGCACGCGGTAGGGCCGGCGGCGTACAACACTTGTTCCGACTGTGTGGATTCGATGCGTGATAGTAGTAGTGCGGCCCAACGTCGAGGAGTAAACATCGAAGTAACCTTCATGTTTCTTTAACAAAGCAAGTATCTGTTGCGTCTGTGAAAGTGTGAAGTCATCGCTAATGGCTGCAGTAAAGGCGGAAGAAGATGCAGGCTCACCCCTAGGGCTGTCGTTGGAGGAGATGGCATGAAGAGGCACGATGCAGGCAGGCTGGTGATCCGTCACGCAGGCCACCGTGGTGTTCTGGGGAAGTAGAATTTTTTCGGATGTCGTACTCACAGCGCTGATAAGTGCGGAACCATTGAGACACCGAACTACACCGGAAGCGAGAATGATTCCTTTACCGACGCATCTAAATAATGGTGTGACCAAGACGTCCCCATGGTCAAAGTCTTTGTGCGAGTTCATCTACTAATGATCCCAAGTCGTGCCTTTTAAGCTGATGTTGAGGTGGTATATACAGAGAGCATAAGGTGATGAGTTTGTTAAAAAGTGCAGCTCGAATGGCCACTGCCTCAAGAGCTGTCCGGAGCTTCATCTGCTGGCATGCCACAGTTCTATCAGCTATAATGGCTACTCCGCCGGATAACACGGCAGCATCTTCACGGTCCTTCCGGAAAGTGATGTATTGGTGGAGAAAGTTGCTGTATTTAGGAGTTAGGTGTGTTTCTTGCACACACAGCACTTTTTGGTTGGACTTACTGAGAAGTTCTTGAACATCATCTAGAATTTTGAGGAGCCCTCTAACATTCCACTGTATGATTTTATCCATTATGAATTCAAAAAAAGTGCTGTGTGTAGTCAAGGTTGAGATTGGTTCATTTTACAGGGCCTTCGTGAGGCCCTGTAATTGATGTTTTCTCTTTTATGAAGCGGTCGACAAGAGGTCTCCGCTCCTTTGGCGCTACCGCCACCGTTTGGCTAGAAGTGGTGTCCATAGCCTCCTTTGAGGCACTGAACACCCTTTTCAAAGAGCTATCTGTGTGTCGCTTAGACTTCGCCTCAGTCGACGAAGTCTTTGCCGCCACCGGGCAGGAGGTTGTTGGGGCCTCCTTGGTCTCCTCATATCTCTGGCTGCTGCCAGGGCTTGTAGAGGTCACCGGTGTGGTCTGGTTGGCTGTGGGTGGGGCGCCGTTGGCTTCTCCCACCAGAAGGGCAGGTGGCTTTGACCTTGGCACACTAGGCGCGGTCAAGGTAGTCGCCAAGGGTCATTGTGGTGCCACTTCTCGTTGCACCACTTCAGCGAAGGAATTTTTTAGTGCGAAAGTAGGTGAGACTCACTGTCGTGCTTCACGAAACATTATATTTTCGTTAACTTTTAAGGTGATAATTTTTTTCTCTTTTCCAGGCTGAGCACGCTCTGGAGTATGCGGCATGGCTGCCTTTTCAGTTTGCACAGTGAACCTCATCATATTCACACTCATCAGTACCGTGACTAGTTATGCCGCATTTACCACAAGTAAGCTGACCTCGGCAGGTCTGAGATCCGTGTCCGAATCGCTGGCATTTAAAGCAACGTCTCGGGTTAGGCACGTACGGACGCACACTAAGTTTTACATAGCCGGTTTCGAGTGTCTGGGGTAGAATGCTTGAAATAAAAGTAAGTATTAGGTGCTTTGTTGCGGTTTCAGTGTTGTTGCATCTGATGTTTATGCGCTGCACATGTGTTATGTCTTGGTCCTTCCATCCGTCAAGGAGTTCCTCTTCGTTGAGTGACATGAGGTCTTCATCGGATACTACGCCCTTCACAGTGTTCGAAGTACGATGTGCAGTAACTGATACAGGGGTATTGCCAAATGCTATGAGGTGTGAAAGTTTGTTCTACTGTTCTTTGTCTTTTATTTCGAAAAGAATGTCCCCACTTCCCATCTTTGTGGCCTTATAGCCGATCCCAATGGTGTCTTTTAAGCACTTGGCCACGAGAAAAGGTGATATTGCTCTTGTTTTAGTTGATATTTTGTCATAGTGAAGAATGTGGTATCTTGGGAAAGTTTCAATGTTTTGGGTGAAAAACAAAGAGCATGCATCGGTGCGTACCCTTTTCA